ACTTCACCACAAAACGCAAATATAAATAAGTAAATAAAATCAAACTATGATCATGACAGAAAAGTTGTCATAAATGCCAAAAAATTTAAAAACCACTAATACATGCTCTGGTTAAAATTCAAGAGTATGGTCATCCAAATATTTACTTTTTTTCTATATGCTGCATCTCTAGCAGATGTTTTACTGAAAATTAACTACCTGGTAATATTATTTGTAAAAATGATCTGAGAAAGGCAGGAGATAGCATAGTTCAAAGGTCAATGCTGTATTTAGACAATGGGTTGTTTTCTTTATGTATCATTAAGATTAAATACATTTTTAGAACTACTTGGCAAAAATGAAATACATGTATTGGAGCTAAATTATGATTATCAATTCTAATTAAATGGGAAAAGCAGAAATTTTAAAACGAGCAAAAAGCTTTTTTCTTTTACAAAAAATGAGGATTACTTCCCTTGATTGAGCCAACATGTACAATTTTTTCACTGTGATCATAAAAACTAAACCACATTTTTAAAATGTAAGTTACCTCAGAATGTTTTACCAAAGCTTCTAAACAGAACATTTCCACTGTAGCTGAAGGAACTTCTCCAAAACTTTCAGCATAAGGAAGTCCATTTCCTCCAAAACACCATAAGCCACCCTGAAAGATAATTAAGATGTTTACTAAAAAGAGTGACTCATATTTTTTGTTTGACAAAAAAAAAAAAAAAATCCCTGAGCTATACACGACATATTTTGGAAGCTGAAAGGGAACTAGTTATGCAAATTGTTGCTTACTAGAACAGAAAACATAAGGACTCATTTCTAGAAGAGGCAATCTTTGTGTCTTTCTTACTTCTTTCCTCTGTGTCCTCTTCTCTCAAAGTATGAAGACTAACACACAATTCTTTAACAAGAAAAGCCCAGGCTGACCATAATGTTCTACTGTCAGATGATGTTAGAGTAGAGTCTACCTGAAGTCTATTAATCAAAATAATAATAGAAAAGGCATTACTGGAAAAATTTTAAATGAAGATAACCGATAAGAATGATCAGAGAGCTTTTAATTCTTCATAAACTGAAATTCAAGTTCATATGGAAGAATAAGCAGAAGAGCTAGGAAAACCATAAGACAGAACAGGAGTGTATACTAGCCCTCGTAGATAGTGAAATAGAAGAATAAACAGGGAACATACGGTGATGAGCACCAGGTGTAATACACAACTAATGAATCGTTGAACACTACATTAAAACTAATGATGTATTCTATGTTGGCCACCTGAACATAATAAAAAAATTAAAGACAAAAATAAACCGGGAAAAGAAAATTTCAGCTCTTACCATAGATGAAACGCTAACGTCACTAGTATACAATTCCCTTCAAATCAGTGACAAAAACAGCGACGATGCTACGGAAAAATGAGCAACAGTCATCAACAGGAAGTTCCTAGGAAGGGGAATCTACGACACGATGCCCAACGCTGCTCTTACGAGAAGCATGCACGGTGACACTGCATGACAAAGAACAGTTTCATCTATCGGGGGGGTGGGGAAGCAGGCACTCCTATCACCCTGCTGCTTCTGTGGAGGACAACTCAGGACAGCTGTGTCTAAACTGCAAGCACCTGTGCCCTACAGAGACCCACGAGGGCAAAGTGACGCAAGAATAGATTCCTTCACGGCAGCAGTGTTTGTAAGCGCGCAAGACTGAACTACCTACCGCCACCAACAGGAGGCTGGTTAAATCATGATGGGTCTACTGTACAATGGAATGCTATATGAACATGAAAATTTCTGAGTCTCCTCATACATTGATATATACCAATCTCCAAGATAAACCCTCAAGTGAGAAAAAGGGGCAGAAGAGTGTATCAAAAGCTACAATCTGTGTAAGAGTATGTATAACTACATGAGGGCGTGTGTCTGCTGGGGTGTGGGAGATGGAAGGGATGGAAGGAAGACTCATTACTAGTCCTCCTCTGAAGTGCTTTGTATTGGAACAAGGGGCCATAACTGTGCCTACAGGCCACCTGCTGGTAAAAGAGCTCAACTACAAGGTAATTTTTTCAAAAATGTGTATAGAAAGCCCAGTGTGAAATATATTCCATAAATTTCCACATTTTGAGCTAATGTATAGGGCCCATGGTTCAGGAAACCTAGTAAACAAAATGTTTGGCCATTCTATAATTCTTACTCATGCCCTCCTCTCTGATGTAACATTCTGTTTTTCCAAGTTTAAACATGCTTGAATCTCAACCATTGATGCTCTTGAAATCGAGGGCTGGGGAGGGACTAACTCATTAAGAGTCACTCTCTCCTCTAGCAGACATGAGGGCAAACAGTGAACTGAGAGGGGTGGGGAACTTTTCTTAAAGATCTACCACCACAACCTGCCTCCCCCAAATCCCTCTCCCTACCTCACACCCTCAAATCATCTGACCTCTTTCTAAGCTAAATGCTTCAAGGAAAGAAAAAGGAGAAAAAATGACCCAGGATTCTGCGTTTTTCTTGATCATTTTCTAAGTGGGATATAAGAATACAGTTCCAATTCCAACCTCATCAGCAAAGCTTTGAAGTTATTTATGAACTGGCATATTGTGTGGTAGTAAAAAGCACAAGCAAAAAGGAATGAATAAAAGGTGCAAACTCATGGTGTGGTCATATGGATTATATTCTTTTTTTTTAAAGATTTCATTTATTTATTTGAGAGAGAGTGAGCAAGCACAAGCAGGGGAAGCAGAGGCAGAGGGAGATGGAGAAGCAGGCTCCCCAATGAGCAAGGAGCCCAATGCAGGGCTTGATCCCAGGACTTGGGGATCATGACCTGAGCCAAAGGCAGATGCTTAACCAACTGAGCCACCCAGGCACCCCTGTATTCTAACTCTTAACACGAAAATAAATACACATAGGTTACTGCTGCTTTATCACTGGATTTAGAGCAAGATTACATAAATTTGTAAAAATTTAAGGAATGCCACACATCGGGGCGCCTGGGTGGCTCAGTCATTAAGCATCTGCCTTCAGCTCAGGTCATGATCCTGGAGTCTTGGGATCGAGCCCTGCATCGGGCTTCCTGCTCCGCGGGAAGCCTGCTTCTCCCTCTCCCACTCTCCTTGCTTGTGTTCCATCTCTCGCTCTTGCTGTCTGTCAAATAAAGAAAATCTTAAAAAAAAAAAAAAAAAAAAAAAAAGAAATGCCACACATCAAATTCCATAATTGCAACTAAAAAACAATTTCTTAAGGATCAAAGAAATGCAGAGGAAAAGAAAGAGTGACAATGTTAAAAACAGTAATAAGGGTAAGGTATAAAAATTAGAAGGCAATAATAATAAAGCATAAGAGGAAAGGTCAACTAATAAAGTTACTAAAGAATTTATATCCATATTATCTATTAATCACATGTGTAACAAAGCATTTTATGTATAATTTTTTCATGACGATACTCAATTTGAGAAACAACATTACTGTGGATTAACATGGTATTTTTCAAATGCATCTCAACAAGTTTATAACAACCAAATGACTTAATGCATAATAGATATTTTCTTACCATATAACCTACACTCCAATTAAACAATATCTCCATTTTTGTCTGTCATACAAAAATACTTGGATTCATAATAGACGTATGCGAGTTGTTAAGTATGTATAAGTTTGTGCACAGCTGGCTCTTTTAACAATGTCATGATTCATTCATTATTCCATAAATATTTATTGAGAATATATTGTGTGGGAGGCTGTATTTGGTACTGGGGAGAATATTATAGACTACTGGAAGGGAGTAAGAGAATTAAGTAATCAAATAAATATAAAGCATAATTACACAATGGGCTAAATGCTATAAAGGGCAATATATGCAATAAACATTTGAGATAAAGAGGAAGGTCTCTCTGAGGAGGTGACAAGCTGAGAGCTGAAGGACGAAGAGGCAGCCATATGACAAGCTGGTAGCAGAGAATCCCAGGTAGAGGGAACACGAGCAGATAAATACTTGGCAAGTTCAAGGAATGGAGAGCAAAGGCCAGTGTGGCTGAAGCATAGTGAGTGTGAGGGAGAGTGAGCATGAGGGAGGGGACAGTCAGAAAGGCAGTGAAGAAACAGATTCAGGTAAGCTGAAGCCAAGGGCTGCTAAGAGATGTGACATCTGAAAATGATTATCCATTCTCCTAGAAACTTAGAAAAAAGCTGTGTTTGCTTTCTCTGTTACTTAAAATTGATGAGATTTACCCACAACCAAAGTTGGGAGAAGGGGAGGTACAGGGAGTTTGCAGATGACAATGATGGGTTCACTCCAACAAAGAATCCTCAATGTGCACAGCTGTACATCATGGGGAACCACAGGACCGAGGAAGCCTGTCCAACTATGTGAAAGCAAGCTTGTTTTGTGTATTTGTGTAGGTTTCCAAATCCTCTGTCGTGAAAGAAATATCCAGTCCTTAAACCAAGTCTGTTGGTGTCTCTCAATCATAACACATTGCTACACTTATGCAGATTGATGTCAGAAGTGTTTTGATGCAAGGACTTCAGACCCTAATACCTAAGCTGATTTCAGAGGGACTAGGATATTACAGGGGCAAATGATAATACAAAACTGCAGGATTTTTAGCTGGACTATCCTTAAGCCAAGACCACAAAAGCTTTGTGATGGGAAATCATTTCAATGCACCACATCCACTGTTCTCTTGACTCTAGGCAGCTTGTTGTATTAGATGAAGAAGCAAGCACAATCTAAAATGTTCAAACTTCTGCATCTCTGGTTGTTGCTTCCTTAGGCTCTAGGTCACAGACACCTGAAGTCCTCTAAGAAAGGTTGAAACTGGGGATAAGCTGACTGACTGGAAGTGTCCAGATGGTAAAAAAACAAAACAAGACTGAAAGCTGGATCCTGACACCAAAGAAGGAACAATCTTGATGGTAACATCTGGGATGGTGGAAGGCCAAGGACCACCCCTCCCTGTCCCCCAGACTCCGAGCAGATTGTAGTCAGCAAACTCCCAGGGCAGATAACGGATGGCTGCCAAGGTCGTAGCTGTGGAGGAGGGGACAGCAAACCTGGGAAGTGCTTTTGCTCCCTCTGACCCAGTTCTCCCAATGAGCAGAAGGAACAAAAGGAGGGAAGGCAGATCACTGCCAGGGTGGGTGGGGAGCAGGGGGGACAGAGTGTCATGATACTGCATCTAATTGTGGGTCCCTTTGTTTTAACGTGCGTAAAAGCTAATCTCTGGTGTTTCTGCGTAAAAATTTACAACCTCAGAACTCTGCAATTTGTGCAAACCAACTGTGCTTAGAAATGGTGTTCATTCTAAAATAGGAACTGCTGAGCCAGGGTCATCCTTAAGCGCCTGGGGTAGACAGAATTCAGGGTAGGGAGGGCATATGCTTGGGTGGGAAAACGTTACGTCTTTATTCCTGACATCTCACAGAAATTCTGCATTGCATTCAATTATAAACACAGACAATAAACCATAGTAACTGTAGTAATCTGTGTGACTCTGTCAGCAATAGAGAACACAGATAATTTCCTATCACATCTCATTTGCTGCAGCTTTCTGAAAATAACACTAGGATCTTCATTCCTTTGAATGCCAACTGCACATCCTCATACTGGTGACCCAGAATTGACATTGCCATCTAGTGTCCACCTACCAGCAGTTACTTGAGACCCATACACGGACAGACTAGTCCTCAGTTTAATATTCTTATTCAGCCCAGCAACAACAGCATTCACAGTGATGTCTTAAAGAAGCAAAATTTACACATTGAATTGAACCACACAAAATTGCAATTTTCCCCAACTCTTTCGCTGGAAGGGTCTAAAAGCAACCCCAGTAGCAACGAGCAAGCTTACACCCAAAAGGTGGTTTCTAACAACCACTGGTTGTTCCTTCCTTAGAAGGAACCAGGGCTTCTTGAAGATTCAGCTGACTCCAGAGCTGGAGCAGAGAAAGTTTAAGATGGAGCCTGGAATGTTTTCTAATGCCAGAAAATAAGAAGTACTCAAAAAATAATGGAGACAATTCCAAAATGCATGGGAGGTAACCTGAAGGGGTTTCCACACCAATTCTGAGACACTTCGAGCATCAATATGAGTAATAGTAGTACTGGGTTATAATCCAGTGAATAAAATAATCCATGAGCCCCTGGATCCATGGATCAGGAAGGAAGGAAGGAGGAAGGAAAGCTTTTCCTTACAGTAGACAGAAGTAAAGAGGGATGGTTAGAGTTGGGCAGGGGGGAGATCACTATTTTGCAACCATCCAAGAATAACCATTATTGGGCACGATTCATTGAGTGGATACTGAAACCAACGGCTGAAAGTTTGAAGAACAGGATAGACTAATAGTCTCAAACATCCCCTCTCCCCTCAGATCCTATATTCATTATAAACAAAATATATATTAACATTAAAGCAGAGAAACCTGGCAAGTTAACATCAGCAACAAGGGGACCAACTGGCATCATGTGCTTCTGGATGTGGCACAGTGAGAAGGACACAGATCACCTCTGCTGTGTTCCTGCGATAAATGCATAAGCCGACTCTAATCCTGAGGACACGTGAGACACACTAAATTGAGAACATTCTGCAAACCACTACTTTGTATTCTTCAGAAATGTCAATGACATGAAGACTAAGAATGGCTGAAGCATTTTTCCAGATAAAAGGAGACATGACCATCAAATGCAATGTTTCATCCTAGACATGGATCAGATTTAAAACAAAAAAACAAACAATAAGCTACCATAAAAGAATTACTGGGATACTCGGCAAAATTCAAACATCGAGTCTATATTAGATCACAGTATTCTATCAATGTTAATTTTCTGAGTTTGATATCTGTACTGTGGTCATATCTCAGAAGGTCCATGTTGTCAGGAAATACAACACACTTAAGTCTTTAGAGGTGATAGGACATTATTTCTACATCTAACTCTCAAATGGTTCAGGGAGGAAAATAGTAAATATGTGTGAACAGACATATAAAATATATCTACAGAGAGATGGGGAGTAAATTGGGGGTCAGAAAACAAATGGGACAAAATAGTAATAATTGGTGAATCTTAGTGAAATGTATTATTTCTGCAATTTTTGAAGTTTGAAATTATTTCAAAACAGTTAAAATATTTTAAAAATAAATTTCAACTTTCCTGTTCTAAATGTATCCAAGGAGTGATTATTGCTAATTAAATGTATTGTTATTTAATGCATCAATAAGTAGTACTGTATTATACCACAAAAATTATTTGTGATAACACTATTTCAATATAATTGGTTTCCTTTGTAATCCTATGTATTGTGTTTTATGCATCTAGAAATAACTTCACAGACTTCACTAAACCACGGGGTGGGGGGGGGGTCCATGGCATAAAAAGGTTAAGAAGCTCTGCTCTAAAACCAAACAGCTGTGTAGGTTATCTGCTAAGGCTAAGTAACCTCCTGAGGAGGTAGTTTTGTACAGAAGCAGCATTTTGCCCCTTGAAAGGCGCTTGGAGACTGTCACAAGGCAGTTTTGGCAGATCTGTAAAAACTAGATGGACACCCCTCCTATCTCTTCACTCCCAACTTCTTAGTAAGTAAAAAATCTGAGAAGCCTAACTAAATGGGGGGCGGGGGGAGGGTGACGGGGTGGCAGGGTGGGAGAGGAGATGAGAACAACTAAAATGGAGTTGCTTACTGGTCTGATGAGATGGGGCCTCAGAACTGAAACTAAATTAAATATTTTTTTAATGTTTAATTAAAGATGTGCTTTTTGTTTTTTGTTTTTTTAAAGGAATTAACCTCTTTGATTAGGTTTATTCCTAGGCATCTTATTGTTTTGGGTGTAATTATAAATGGGATTGACTAATTTCTTTCTGCTGCTTCATTACCGGTGTATAGAAATACACCAGATTTCTGTATGTTGATTTTGTTTCCTGTGACTTTACTGAATTCATGTATCAGTTCTAACAATTTTTTGGTGGAGTCCTTTGGGTTTTCTATATGGAGTAGCATGCTGTTTGCAAACAGTGAAAGCTTGACTTCTTCCTTGCCAGATAAACCTAATCAAAGAGGTGAAAGACATAAAAGAACATAAAGCCCTCAATCAGAATGGCTTTCCCATGTAAAGATAGTCTTACTCCAAAGGTGTGAAGGACCCTGAAGAGCACTTTGAGAACTCTGACAAGATGGCACATACAGCTGGGCATGCTGACCTGTGCTCGGTCTCCTTGTTTGCACACCATCTGCCACTACACAAACTTTACATCCTGTGACTGCCTACTGGCACCTTGTTATCAATTTCGTCACCACTCACCACTCCAAGGGGAGCCACTCTGATAAATAATGCCAGTCAATGCCTTGATCACAAAAAGGGCTCAGACTTAGCATGTAATGGGAAGCTATCTGGAAGGCTTAATGCAGGAGAATGAGTGGATCTAATTCACGTCTTTTTTTTTTTTTTAATCACTCTGGCTGCTGTGAAGGCATACAACTGGAGAGACAAGTAAGGAGCTTGCTGTGGTGTCTGAGATGATGGAGATGTGATAAGGAAGCTTTCTGGATCCAGCAAGATGCTGAACGTGGCTTCTAGTGAATCCCTCCCACTACAAACATTTAGAAATGTCTACTATCTTTAAGATGTAACTTCAGAGTCACCTCCATGGAGCCTTACATGACTTCTTAAGCAGAGTGAAGGGCTCTCAGAGTAGCCCGTATCTCTCTTGTACATTCTGTGATTTTGTTTATTTACCTGTCTCCCCACCATCCCTAACAGTGCCTGGCACACAACCAGGAGCCAACATGTTTATTCTGTTCCTGAATGGATGACTATTCTAAGTTTCTAAGTGCTGGCCCCTGGCACAGTATCCTAGAAAGGGTGGACGGGCACTCCAAAATATTTACTGAATGAATAAATGAGATAACCTTCTGAGCAGCTAGACTTTGACTGCTTTCACTCAGAGCCAAAGATGTAAAATACTGGATACACTCATCTAGCTCCGTTTGAGGTAAAGAAGCCAGCAACTGTCTGAGCTCTTCTTCAATGGAAGAATCCTGTAATAAAAGGAAAGGAAATTTTTCATAATTAAGCTCAACAACTGAATACAACAAAAGTACCCAAAGAATCAAAGCCAAAACAAAAGAGCAGAGATAAATTAGTGCTTTTAGTCTTGAAAACTGTTGCCCACCTAAGGACATAGAGAATCAATTATGAGTTCTGTACTTCTATGTCTGCTACCTCAGTCTGAAAGCCCTATTGCAAAGTTTAGCTCTTGACTCAAAATGGATTATTACACTCTAACTAAACCTTGCTTCTATAAAATCCAGAACTCATTACTGATTTTCTCTAATAACTTACATCTAGCATATTCATTTTTCTATTTTTCAATAACTGATTGCAAGTTTTCAGATTTTCATTTTCTAGGAAAGCCTTGGAAAGGTGCTGAAGAAGCACACTCTAATACCTATTAGTGGTTAGTAATTAATATCTACGTGGAGTAATACATTAATATCTATATGTAGTGTTTAGTAAAAACCTATGCAGAGTGATATGTTAATATCTACACGTAGTGGTTCTCCAGGAGCTTTTTTGCACCCCAGGAAACACTCAGCAGTATCTGGAGATAGTTGTGGTTGTTACAACTGAGGGGACTGCTACTGGCATCCAGTGAGTAGACCAGGGATGCTGCTAGACATCCTACAATGTACGGAACAACCTTCCACAACAAAGAATTATTTGGCCCAAAATGTCAGAAGTGTTGAGAAAAACAGATCTACAGCAATATTAGAACTAGGGCCTAATTCATCGATGTTGATTGGCTATGAAGTTACCTTCTGGTGTATAAAGACTCACAATGCCCAAAAGGGGAAAATAACACAAGAGAAACATCTCCTGATAAATCAAGAAATCTTTGTATAGGAACTACAATTTCAGGTTTACATCTTGTTTACCTGCTTGTGAAAAGTAGCCAACAGACTGCTTTTCGAATGGTTACTTTGCACCCAAAGTGAAGATGATATATTAATCTATTTTTCACTCACTGGACTATTTTATTTACTTACTTCTTTTAAAGATGGCAAAGGAGGTGGTGGAAGAAAAAAGCGAAGATCACTCTCTTTGCTTCGTGCCAAACCAATAAGAGTTCTCAGATCACAGGCTTGAGCAATTATCCTATACTGGTAATCTATTGTAAAAGTATGTTATTAGCACCCAAATTAGCTTATAGTTGTTTCAAGAATTAAATGAACATTTAATTTTTAAATTATAAGTTTGTGATTCAAAATTTCCCACGTCTCTTTTCATAATCACAACTGCATTTACACTACTGGTAAGCCAGATATCCAACATTTCCACGCCTGATCTCATAATTCTCAACATATATGTAAGCATATCGCGGTCTAACTAACCTTTTGAAGAACTGAACTTCAAATGTGAAAATTGATAGGTCAGAACCAATTTAACTTCTTCTCCTTTTCTTTGTAATAATTCTAGCGTTTAAAAACTGTTTTGATCACTACTTTAAAAAACCTGAGGTTGCACTGAGATCTACTGTCCCTGGTATGGTGTGGTGCTTTGCATCTCTTGATGTCCATGAATAATGTGAGGTTTCAGATGGTGGTACTTTGTTTGAGCCTTCATGATTTAACCAGTCCAGCCTTTATGTATTGCTCTGAATGACTGTGTCCCCACCCTACTCATATGTTGAAACAGAATTCCCAATGTCATGGTATTTGGAGGTGGGAACTTCTGGAAGCCCCCATGACTGGGATTACTGTCCTTATAAAAGAGACCCAGAGAGATCCCTTGCACCCTCTGCCACGTGAGGACACATAGTAAAAAGCCGGTCATGTATGAACCAGGAAGCAGGTCCTCACCAGACATCAAGGTGGTGATGGCACTATGATCTTGGATTTCCCAGCCTACAGAACCGTAAGAAATAAATTTCTAGGGACGCCTGGGTGGCTCAGTCGGTTAAGTGTCTGCCTTCGGCTCAGGTCATGATCCCAGGGTCCTGGGATTGAGTCCCACATGGGGCTCCTTGCTCGGCGGGGAGCCTGCTTTCCCTCTGCCTGCCTCTGTCTCTCTCTGACAAATAACTAAAGTCTTAAAAAAAGAAAAAAGAAATTTATTTTGTTTATAAGCCACCCAGTCTACAGTTTTGTGTTATAGCAGCCCAAATAGACTAAGCTATGTATCAAAAACAAAATTACAACCACTGAGGCAGGCATTATTTTTAATAATGGCAGTTCATGACCTGGGTGAGTTCTTTATGATCAAGTGGGGAACTTTCCCAAAATCTACGTGCCTGGGCTCCAACTCTGATTTTTCTGATATAGTAAATCTGAAATGGAGTCCTGGAAGGTAGATTTTTTTTTTTAAGATTTTATTTATTTTGAGAGACAGAGAGAGAGAGTGTGTATGCACAAGTGGGGGGGGGTGGGCAGAGGGAGAAGCAGACTCCCCACTGAGCAGGGAGCCCTATGCAGGGACTCGATCCCAGGACCCTGAGATCATGACCTGAGTTGAAGGCAGACGCTTAACTAACTGAGCCA